TAGCCCTTCATCCCAGCATGCTACAGGCCCAATATCAGTACCCTGGGCCTTTTGGTTATTGAGAAGAAGTTGTTTGAAGATTTTAACATATTTGACCCCTGTGACCTTGAAAGTGGGTCAAGGTCATTTATTTGAACAAACTTGGTAGCCCTTGTTCCCAGCATGCTACTGGCTAAATATCATCTTCCTAGGCCTTTTGGTTACCGAAAAGAGGTTGTTTAAAGCAAAAAGTTGACGCCGGACGGCCGACGGCCGGCCGGACGGCCGGACGACGGACTCCGCACCATAACATAAGCTCACTTGCCCTTCGGGCAGGTGAGCTAAAAACAAAACAGAACTGCATATAATAGATATTATTCACCTTTCACAAAATGACTCACTCTAAGAGTGTGTATATAATGTACAAATTATTTGAAAAGCCTTTGAATCATAAAAGTTAATCTGAAATTGAACCAGCATGAAAATGAATGCAAAAATCATAAAAAAAATTCCAAAACATTGTATGAATATCGTTTTCATGCTTCCTCAACAAGACAGACATTTGACCAGATGAAGACATTCATGACAAACTGTAAGATCAGATGCTGTAGATGTAGCAAGAAATCTATCAGCTGCTGAATATGGACAAGGACAGCTTTATATTCTAGTTTTCCACAACAGTGCAATGTGTTTTATGTTAGATCGTACATGTCGAGGCAAGGTAAAACCTGTGCACCCATAATCTGAAACTAGACCTGCCATTTTACCACATAAAGCAACTGTGAGATGCTTGGTTATAGCCTGCACCCTGGCCGTTTACCAAAATGCAATTATTTCACTTCATATAATATATGCTATATACCCATTCTAATGCATTAACAACTAGAAATAGATGTCAATAATGCTTCAAGATATCAAAAATGAGTAGAAAACTTTATCTAAGTTAAAAAAAAGTATCTGTTGAACAAATTTTTATCTCCAAAAAAGCAATTAAGTCATATAATTAACCGATTTAAATTAATGTTTACTGAATCCTGTTGTATATCCCAGCAGAAGTTTTCTTGTCCATAGATTAGAAGCTCAACAGTGTTAACCGGAGAATGTGATTGTTACCTGTCCAGTCAGTTGCCATTTCCCTGACTGTAAAAATTTTCCACTGGCTTGTTCGGCCTCATGGTCCTGGGAAACAGACCAGGTGAAACATCTGACCACCCGGTCCGAGTACCCCACCACCACCTCAGTCTGTCCGTCACCATCTAATGGCGAAAGTCAGTGAGATAATTCAGATAGCTATTTTCCTCATTGTTTATTGACACATGGACAATTTTTGTGATCTAGAATTTAAATTCGTTCATTTCCATTTGAGTTAAAATCATCTTTGACAAAAAATATGAATTTATCATAGGAATTAAAAAATCTTAAAATGTTGGTTTGAAATGGGATCCAACAAGTAATACATATCCTGAATTCTGTTTACTTTTTTGGCATATTTGAATGTTAATATAAATTATATACTGTACTTAATATTTTCAATTGATATTTTTTTTCTGCTTTAAATAATATCTGCATTTCTTCACAAAACATGCAGTTTCTTTCCAAAAAGCTCCTATACCACCCTACTACCAATATCATTTGAGTGACACACTTACAGATACCATCCTACACTCCTAACCCCACAAACACCTACCAATATCAGCTATGAGGAGAACCTTGCCATTGGCAGGTAAGTGTTGTGTAAATGATGGCTTTACTATCTTATCAAGCTCCTCCTCTGTCTCCTTGCCATTCTATAAATAAACAATTCCACATAGAAAAAGAAAAACCAACAAAAATTAGAGAAAATAAATATATATAAACTTTATATAAGTGTGATATTTAGCAGTCAGTGTGTACGCTTGTATAAGTAGGAAAACTATTGTTCCTGAAGAACTTCCTTTGTTTTTTTGTTTGTTTTTTTGTATTCCTAAAATTTAATACAATTCAGTTAACCCTTTCACCACTGTAGACCAAAATGGACTCATCCAGATCAATACATGGTACTCAAGTCTACTCAAGTTACATAGGGGTGAAAGGGTTAACATAAATAACTTTAACAACTTTACACCATCATGCAACTTGTGAAAGCAATTAATAAATACAAGTATATTTGTAAAATGACCTGGTACAATCCTATCTTAGCATACTATATGATGGTTGATGTTAGAACTTCAATCTTACTACATTTTGTATAACCTCTGTTGGGACAATAGCCTCACGACTCTTTGTAAGGAATCTCCATGTATGTAAAAAAAAATGTGTTACCTCCCCTGAAGAAGATTCCCCTTTGACCTCGAACAGGTAGCACCAGCCCTCAGCTGTCAGAACTACCAGGATATTCTGTTCATGAAAGATTTGGAAACATTTATTAACAGTAAAAATTATCTGGTCGTTTCTCTGGAAAATTCAGATAAGAAAAATAATATTAATATATGTAAATTTAAAAAAAAAAACATTTCTTATCTATAAACAGAATTTTACATTTTTGAAGTGTCTGGGGAGCTTAACACAATAAATTTGGTACTGTTATACATGAATGTTAGCATCAGATTAAAATCAATTTTTCGACATAGGCAAACTTGAAAAGCCTAGAGGCTTTGTTTTTATAATAAACAACTTGAAAAGCCTAGAGGCTTTGTTTTTATAATAAACAATGTTTTACTTCAAGTACAATGTTAACTTCCTGTAAACTAATGTACATGCATCAACTTACTTTTCCTTTTCCGTAAACATCTCCAACGCCAATACATGTTATCTGGAAAAAGACAACAGGGCATCATAGTATCTGATTTTGTTCTGATGTCAGTATATTAATTGGTGGTTGATTTTATGATGATGTAATATACTAGGTGATACATAGCAATGACTAGAAATAACACACATCCAGTATGCCTGTACTTGTCTAATGTTAGTAAACCTTTACTAAATAACTAACAGCTGAGATGTTTTTACTTTTATATGTAACAGCAAGGATTAATCTTAATGGTACAATGAGGATATTATATATGTTACCCTATGATACAGTGATCAGATATATTAACTACATGACGCAGCTTAAGGATGTCTTTACGGCATGTGATTTTGGAGGATTGGCCTTCTTTCGTCACCATACCAATCAAGGAATGTCTTTTGGTTTGAAAGATCATTTCAGGGGTTTATTGCATATTCTGAGTGTTTAGGCTACGGGCAGATTTTTTTGCAATTTTCATTAACTAGCCCAAGACATATTTTCATAGTAACTATTGAAGATTTTCACAAATAAAATTTACTAGGGCCAGTGGAATTTTTGTACACTACTGGCATTTATCTTTATCAAATAATATCACTTAGTTTTAGTTTCTTACCATTCCTAGGTCTGTGCACACTTTCCATGGTGTTCGATTTGTTCCTTTGAAGATGGCCAGGTCACCTTCTGTGTTACCCACAATCAGCTCATTAGCCTACCATGAAAAGAACAAGATGGAAATACTTTGTATGCTATTACAGGATTATAGAAACTCAGTAACATACAACCTGCCTTCATGAATGACAAGTTGCATATTAATTATGCTTTCAACTTTTTGATTTTCTTCAGCAATGAGATTTAAAAAAAAAAATACACAGCCAGATCCTATATTATACCAGACTCTCAGATCATATCTTTGCCAAAGTACATTTATATATGTAATGTATCGAGATACACATTTTATAATATGTATGCATGCCCTTAAATGTAACAGCTAGGAGATGGAAAAATGCATGGCCAGACCGGGTTCGAACCGAGGTTTGGGCATCCTCTTGCCAATCATACAGGTCCCCAAATGCTTGAAACAAGGGTTGGTCACAGACACCACTGTAACAGGAGATAGAAAAATGCACGGCCAGACCGGGGTTCGAAACTCATGACCCTCGATCCAAACTCTAGACAGATACTCTTGTACAATTGAGCTTCCTGGTCACGAACGAACGACCGACCCAGTCCAGTTCCTCTACACTAATACCACAATTATGGATTGCACAGTACATTTTGTATGAGTATGTATATTTTTTAATTAATTAACTGATCCTATATTTAATGTAAATGATTCAATTAGAGTGTAGTGCTTAGTCACAGTGTTTAGCCGGAGCAATGAGAATATTCTTTTCAAAATCTATGTCTTCTGACAAAAATATCAACATAACTATATATGCAACTTCTTGATATATGTTTGTATGACAGACATTAGGCTTAGTACAGTAGTAAATACTGTACCTGTGATTAAATGCATTAATTTAAACGACTCTCTTTATATGATTTTTTATGACATTTGAGGGTAGTACTGCAACTTTTTAGAACTTTTGTATTTTGCTGAAAAATAAAAGTGTTAAACACATGGAAGCCCTCTATCTTATATAGGCTTATGCTGTATACACTGTCTAGCTAGGGTGCTTGTGTATCTGTGAGGGTGGTTACCTTGTCATTGTCGATGTCAGCTAACGTTAAAGCTTGATTGAATAGATTTCCATCGAAGTCAACTTCAACCCGTTCAACAAATGAAACCGTTCGCCACATAGTACACAGTTTGACATTTCATATTACTCGTAACATAATGTGCGAAAATGAAACAAGAGCGTTACCCATTTATAAGTAAAAGGGGTAAGGGCTATTGTAAGGAAAACTGGATAATATTGGATTTGGGACTGAATTTACCTTCTCGCTTCGGCTTGCAATATCTTAATTTATGTATTTCACATTTGAGCATGCTCCGGGTAGTTTGAAGTGAATCAGCAACGGTAATACGGTTATACAGGCAAATGATCGTTTTGCGCGTTTTCGTTCAATTGTCCGTGATAAAATCTGGTACGTAGTCCTAGCCTGAACAACCCGGAAATTAGAGAAAATGACAGATTAGTCTCGGTCAACCAGACGCTTGATCACTTGTTCGGCGTCGCTTGCGCAGACAACAAGAGCCTGGTTGAACGAGACTAACTACAGGTAATATCAATAATAATATATTTGCCTACCTGTGTTATTTGACGCATTGACAGTTGTACATTATGTGTGTATTGACATCTAAGTTAGTTGATACCATCTACGGTTACGTCACAGAGACCTGTTGACATTAGTTTGCAGTGCACAGAGTACTCGAAAGAGGGCGTTGCAGTATTTACAGATAGATAGTGAAGGACACTACCGTTCCAGGTTAGACTACGTACGTGACAGATAAGCAGAATCTAATTATAGTACCACAATCAGACAATTTTCAGACGTTTCCTCTAAATGCATAAAAGCATCACCGTCATAGATATACTTGTCTGTCTTATATTATTACTAGAAGCGTGCACTCGCCCATATATTGTGTGAGTGACTGCTCACAAGATACGTGGTAAAAAAATGTTGTCCAATTAATTATGCACAGGTGTTTGAAATTATGACTGTAAATTGAGATAAAAATGATATAAACAAATTAAGGTATTATATAAAAAAAGTACAGTACTTTTTTATAGTAATACCCTTATTTTCATATGAATTTTATCTCAATTTACAGTCAGAATTTCAAACACCTGTGAATTATGGCCAACGATGAGCATTGTATTAGCAACATAAAATTGAAAACTCAATAGACTAGATATACAGGCACAATACAGTACAGTAAAATTAAGACATATACAGACAATTATTTTACTGTCCATTGCTCGTGTTCTTCGTTATCTCCCTTTGATAATGATAGGTTATGTTACAGATAAACAGAGAGGGCACAATGTCTGTCCGTTCATCCTACCCTGACTTATCTCCCTTCCGCCATATGTAATTATATTACAGATCATAGGGTCAAGGCACACTATTCAGTCCAAATAGAACAAATCTTGTGTGAATTCCGCTTTACCCTACCTATACCCTATATTTTTGTGTGTGTACCCTAAAGCTTTTATTCGATTAAGTGATACATGTATATGCACTGTTAAAGTCAGAACTCCTGCTTTATATAAAGTAAATGTATTTTCCAAAAAGAAAAAAAATATCAATTATCTATATATACCCGGATACCCCCGAGGTGGGGGACATGCCTATAACGAGCCATTTTTGTTTTTAGAAAAGTATTTTTTTGTGCTTACATTTAAGTTTTATGATACAATAAGCTTATTAACAAATCTAATTAAAATCAGATCTCTCATTACACTACGTTATGTAATAAGAAATCTGATTTTAATTAGATTGCTTATTAACATCACTTATTAGCTCACCTGCCCGAAGGGCAAGTGAGCTTATGTCGTGGTGCGGCATCCGTCGTCCGTCCGTCCGTCCATCCTCGTCCGTCAACTTTTCCTTTAAACAACTTCTTCTGAAGAACGGACAGGCCTAGATTCATGATATTTGGCTGAAAGCTTTGTTGGTAGGAGCCCTACAAAGTTTCAGAACGAAAATAACCTTGACCTACTTTTAAGGTCACAGGGGTCAAATATGTCAAAAACTTCAAACGACTAGTACTTCTTCTGAAGAACTAAAAGGTATAGAATCTTCATATTTGGCTGATGGCTTCCTGGGATAGAGCCCAAAAAAGTTTGAGGAAGAAAATTAGTTTGACCTACTTTCAAGGTCACAGGGGTCAAATATGTCAAAAACTTCAAACGACTAGTACTTCTTCTGAAGAACTAAAAGGTATAGAATCTTCATATTTGGCTGATGACTTCCTGGGATAGAGCCCAAAAAAGTTTGAGGAAGAAAATTAGTTTGACCTACTTTCAAGGTCACAGGGGTCAAATATGTCAAAAACTTCAAACGATTTCTTCTGAAGAACTAAAAGGTATAGAATCTTCATATTTGGCTGATTGGTTCCTGGGATGGAGTCCAACAAAGTTTGACAATGAAAATTACCTTGTTCTACTTTCAAGGTCACAGGGGTCAAATGTGTCAAAAGCTTCAAATGACTTCTTCTGAAGAACTGAAAGGTATAGAATCTTTATATTTGATTGATGGCTTTCTGGGATAGAGCCCGACAAAGTTTGAGGAAGAAAATTACCTTGTTCTACTGGCAATCTTCTCCTACATTTTTCGATAAGTTATTGCCCTTTGTTCATTTCAGTAATTGAATTTAGTCCAGAGATCTTCTACATTTTTCGACCGATCTCTGTGACACTTGGTATACATTATAATCATGATAGAAGTTGTGTTTCCCTTAAAAGAATTTTGATTCGACAATTTTTCCAAAAGTTATTGCCCTTTGTTCATTTCAGTATTTGAATTTTGTCCAGAGATCTCCTCCTACATTTTTCGACTGATCTATTTGAAACTTGGTATACATTATAATCATGATATGAAGTTGTGTCTCTCTTAAAAGAATTTTGATTCAACAGTTTTTCCAAAAGTTATTGCCCTTTGTTCATTTCAGTATTTGATTTTTGTCCTGAGATCTCCTCCTTACATTTTCGACCGATCACTTTGAAATTGGTATACATTTAAATCATGATATGAAGTTGTGTTTCTCTTAAAAGAATTTTGAAATCGACAATTTTTTCAAAAGTTATTGCCCTTTGTTCATTTCAGTATTTGATTTTTGTCCGGCAATCTCATCCTACATTTTTCAACGGATCTCTTTGAAACTTGGTATACTTTATAAACATGATATGAAGTTGTGTCCACCTCAAAAGAATTTTGATTCAAAGATTTTTGCAAAATTTATTGCCTTTTGTTCATTTCAGTATTTGAGTTTTTGTCCGAAGATTTTCTCCTACATTTTTTAAAGCATATCAGCTAACCACTCTTAGAATGATGCAGATCTTATTTCAATGTAAGAAAGTATATAACACTATATGGCATTCGACGGGCGTATTTTGTTCCGTCCCGCGGTACTCTTACTGGGCCCACTTGTATAAAACATCTCAAAGTTAAGGAAAATCTCAAGCAATATATTGTCTATGGGAAAAACATCTTGATAATTATATAATACGAAATATGTTCACAGAGCTTATTCTGGTGGAATGAAGCACTTTGATAGCATACAGTTACATATTCGTACTATAAATGTGTATATAAATAAAAATAGTACATTGTATTCTACAGGAGCCTGATCTGGAGTTGACCACACTGTTTTGTAAAACAGTCAGCAGGCAGATTGACCACTTCTCATCATGACGTCGGCAGGTGTGTGTTAACCCTTTCACTCCTATGTAACTTGAGTAGACTCTACTGATGTGGATGAGTCCATTATAGTCAACAGTGGTGAAAGAGTTAAGAATTATCTCCAGATGTAGATCACATATTTATAACAGCTAGAGTGTACACAAATACGTACCCCATAGAGAAAATGAGGTTAATTGCTGAAAGTATTATTTTGCTCTTTAAGTGTACAACATATACCATATTTGAAATACCGGTAATATAAAGAAAAAAACAGGTGAGTTTTTTTAAGGCTCCTTGGCCTCTTGTTTATGACAAATTTAGAACGTGCTGATGGCAATCTTCATTCTTCATGTCATTTTAAGGACAACTTGGATGCTAACCTTGGTTTCCTACATTTTGATGACAGTGTAGGTAAACATATTTTAATGGTGATTTTTCTTCACTACTTTCTGATGACAAAATAAATTTACTTTGATGGTGACTTTTAATTGGCTCTACTTTTTAATGACTGTTTACACAGATTTAAATGGTGACATTGTTTCGTTTTTTTGTGACATTTGTTGGTGTTTTTTTCGATGACACATTAGTAATTGTGACACATTAGTATGTTAACAAAATATGCTTGCTTTGCCAGAGGGGATATGTCTTGTCTTTAATACACTTGCTTTCACCCCCATGTAACTTTGGTAAACTCTACCATGCATTGATCTGGATGAGTCCATTATGGTCCACAGTGTTGAAAGGGTTAAGACTATATGTATATGGATTTCACTTTGTTATTGACAGATTACAAGTGTTTGGATGGTGAACTAGAGCTGACTGACAGCATGAGGGAAGATTTTGATAAACATGGATACATAATGGTCAGGTAAAGTTCATCTAACTAAAAACTTACATTTGACTGTTTTAGTAAGTCAGTAGGAAATGCCAGGATGCAGTATTGTAATTTTTTCTGTAGCAAACTTTTTATATACGGAGTAACATTATAGACATTAGGTGTTGTATAGACTGACAGACAAATATTGTATACACAGATGAGGCAGCAAGGCCGTAATAGCGGACGTAAAAACCTTCAAAATCAAAATCAAATCAATAAACAGACAGGCAGTGAGACAGTCGTATTGACTCTTTTAACTATAGGGTTAATTAAACAATCATGTCCATTGTTATTCAGGTAGTATTTTGCTATCGTTGCTGATTAAAGTTCATATACATTATTTATATTGTTTGACATGTTTTGTTTGATATTTCAGAAACTTTTTGGATTCTGAAGAACGCCTTAAAGTTAAACAGGCTCTGGAAGACTACGACAACATAACAAGCAAAGGCTATAAAGTAAGGGACCACATTTACGGAGTCAAAAACTCCTCATTTTTTCAAAGAGATTTTTTTTTTGCTTAAAAACAAAATTGAGTGTCACAAAGTGGAGAGTTGCTTTAATTTACATATTCACTTTCATGGGCTAAATAATATAGTTTTATAACTGAAACAGAGAGAATGTAAACTACATATTGTAACACTACATTGTATCTATCCAGTGTTACTATTCTACAGATCATAGAGAGGAAAGCAAGATAATTCAAGCTAACCCAATTTATTGTATATATTCTGTGTTACTACCCAACAGATATCTGACAGGGGAAATAATGCATGCTAGCCCAATGAATTGTATATATTCTGTGTAACTACCCTACAGATAATTGACAGGGGAGATAATGCATGCTAGCCCAATATATTGTATATATTCTGTGTTACTACCTTACAGATATCTGACAGGGGAGATAATGCATACTAACCCAATATATTGTATATATTCTGTGTTACTACCTTACAGATATCTGACAGGGGAGATAATGCATGCTAGCCCAATATATTGTATATATTCTGTGTAACTACCCTACAGATATCTGACAGGGAAGATAATGCAAGCTAGCCAAATAAATTGTATATATTCTGTATAACTACCCTACATATATCTGACAGGGGAAAGATCTAGAATGTGAGTTAGCCAAATATATTGTATATATTCTGTGTTACTACCCTACATGTATCATACGAGGGAGATAATGCAAGCTAGCTCAATATATTGTATATATTCTGTGTTACTACCCTACATATATCTGACAGGGGAGATAATGCAAGCTAGCCCAATATATTGTATATATTCTGTGTTAATACCCTACAGATATCTGACAGGAGAGAGAATGTGTGCTATCTGAATATATAATATATATATTCTATGTTAACACCTCACAGATATCTGACAGGGAAGGAAGAGAGTGCAAGCTAGCACTATGGAGCCATCCGGGCAGTGATGTCACAGGAATGGTGGCCCGCTGTGACAAAATGGTGAACACTTGTGAAAAGGTGAGAACTGACACACAAAAACTGATGTCCACATGCTGTCCTTATTTGAAGGTGTCTGTATACAGTGGTACATTAGGTTAAATGAATGTAACCATTGTCTCTCTGAAATTATTTTTTCATTAAAATGTCTGTATTTAATCTGATCAAACTGCGGGGATGATTTGGAAAGGACAGAATTATGTGTAACAGCTGTTGGAGTACTAAGTGATAGTATGCTTTTTGTTAACAGTTGTTGGGTGGAGAAGTGTACCACTACCACACCAAGCTGATGATGAAGAATGCAGATACTGGAGGAAGTCACCTATGGCACCAGGACTATGGGTAATTATAGAAACAAAATGGTGTTATACTTGGTATATTTTACTCTGGGTACCATGTGGTGTCATATTAGACACCATGTATGGGTAAACCAAATGGTGTCATATACCAGAACCATGGATGAACCGTGGCATCATGACTATAGACCAAACCATGTAGTATCATATCTCCCCCTAGGGCTATGGGTTGACCATATTGTGTCTTGTCTTCCCCCTGGGCTATGGCTTAACCATAGTGTGTCATATCTTCCCCAGGCTATGGGTAACTGTGTATCATATCTTCCCTCAGGGATATGGGTTAACCATGTTGTGTCATATCTTCCCCCAAGGGCTATGGGTTAACCATGTGGTATCATATCTTCCCCAAGGGCTATGGGTTAACCATGTTTGTCATATCTTCCCCCTGGGCTATGGCTAAACCATGCTGTGTCATATCTTTCCCCAGGACTACGGGTTAACCATGCTGTGTCATATTATCCCTCAAGGCTGTTGGTTAACCATGTGGTATCATATCATCCCCCAAGGGCTATGGGTTAACCATATTGGGTTTTATCTTGTAACAGACAATTTGAATTTTGGGTAAACCAACTATTCAATGTTATGTTCTAGTTCCCAGGATTGGACATAACCTGTAGCAGCTAGAATTGTTCTGGCCTGGTTTACTGTCACATGAAAAACTACTTGAAAAAAAGACAGCGACCTGCTGTAGCCAGAAGTTTTAAATGTAAAATGTTAGTTGTTTAGTGCACCTGTCCTCTTTTGCTTTATTTTTACATTTTTTTAGGCCATGAATGGCATATGGTCAGTAAATGATGATTTTATTTTGCATTCAGCATTGACTTACTCAATTTAACAAAAATAGATTCATTCTTACTAGGTATTTTCTGAGATTTTTTTTTTTAAATAGTTTAAACAAAAATTGATATCTTGCTTGCTGGTCTTATTGTCTTATCTTATATTTTTTTTAAACCCACCAAGAATGACACTAAAATTTATGAATGACACTTTATTCAAATTTGTTTAATTTTATAATCATTAAGAGTTATAAATTGCTGAAACATATTGATTTCAAAACGAAATGGTATGATTACTTACAGATACTGGTACAAAAATGGCTGCCTTTATCCAGACATGTTGACTGTTTTCATTGCCATTGACAGATGCAATAAAGAAAATGGCTGTTTGGAGGTAAGAGCTTTCGCTGAAAAGTGATGAAAAGTTTGCTTGAAAATGTATCAATAATACATCGACAAGTATTGCAGTTCATGACAGACACCAGATGTTGTATTAAGTAATAACATAAAGTTTTATTACTCCAGGTGGGTTTTAGAAGTTATCTTGAACATGTCTTTAATAGACTATTTACATATGATAATGAGCAGTATATTGATGTACATAGAGGGTATGTTTCAGCAGTGTATAAGACGAGCCTACTTTCTTTCCAGATGAAGTGGCTTTATTGTTAAACAAATATATTTTTCTCCCACTGTTCACATAATTAGCTCCCATTTTACCTGTTCATAATTTCTCAGACAACTCCACCCCGCTAGGTATGATTTCTCTGTGGCCCCCATACGGTATGATTTCCCTGTCACCCTCTAGGGTATGATTTCTCTGTCACCCTCTAGGGTATGATTTCTCTGTGACCCCCATACAGTATGATTTCTCTGTCAGCACCTGGGTATGCGGTATGATTTCTCTGTCAGCACCTAGGGTATGATTTCTCTTTGACCTGAATAGGGTATGATTTCTCTTTGACCTCAATAGGGTATGATTTCTCTGTCACTCCACTGGGGTATGATTTCTCTGTCAGCACCTAGGGTATGATTTCTCTTTGACCTCCAAAGGGTATGATTTCTCTTTGACCTCCAAAGGGTATGATTTCTCTTTGACCTCCATAGGGTATGATTTCTCTGTCACTCCACTGGGGTATGATTTCTCTGTCAGCACCTAGGGTATGATTTCTCTTTGACCTCCAAAGGGTATGATTTCTCTTTGACCTCCAAAGGGTATGATTTCTCTTTGACCTCCATAGGGTATGATTTCTCTGTCAGCACCTAGGGTATGATTTCTCTTTGACCTCCAAAGGGTATGATTTCTCTTTGACCTCCATAGGGTATGATTTCTCTGTCAGCACCTGGGTATGCGGTATGATTTCTCTGTCAGCACCTAGGGTATGATTTCTCTTTGACCTCAATAGGGTATGATTTCTC